CCAACCCCTTTCTATGATTCTACGATTATTCTGAATTTTTAATGGAATTAATCAAAGTGAACCTGCTGGAACAAATGGAAGAGCAAATACAAAACTAGTATCAGTGTTAGAGTTTAAAAGCATGTAATTGAAACACTCCTGAACACCTTTTGTTACAGCTTGTAGCTAGTGGTACAAAATGTTAACATGCAAATAGCTCATGTTTATGTAAGAATGACAACTTGTAGGGGAATGCAAGAACAAAAGTATTAAATTACTGAAATATTACACAGAAATCTGAGGAGAATTCAGAGGGAAGTTCTAGACTGTTGAATATAAGAATAATTATGTCACTATTGGGTAGTGTGTTGGATGTTGTACCACCAACTCATTTACTATGTGTTCCTTGTCTCTTCCATAGGTATCCTTTGATATTAGTTTTGACTTTAACCTTAAAAATCTTCAGAATGTGGCAGTTATAAGTTTTCGTGCATTGAGGTAAAGTATATAATTATATGAAAGCAAGTTAGATATTAATACCTTATTTGTATAAAACAAAATTATAACACTTGACTCAAATGTGTTTTGATGAACAGTGAAAGTAAGGAACTGCAAGAACTGGACAACCAGGTCAGCTTATCAATTCCTTTGCGATATGATGCAGAAATTCACTTCACAAGGTACGCTGAATAATATAAAGAGTCACTGTCATTTTGACGAGGTACTTGAATATAGTAACAGTCTTGAAAGGCCACTGAAAATACAGTTAAACTTTGTTTTCATTTTGGAAATCATAAGGAATTCCCACTACATCAGTAGTAGCAGATTTTTGTGTCCTTCCAACAACCTTACATGTGTAGTAAGAATTTGTAGATCCAGGTTTACCTCTGCACAGTTTTTGCAGATGAATGGAAGTGGTATAAAAGCCAAAGAGTGCTTGTGGTTTTGATAATGTAATGAATATATACTGTATAATAAGATTGGCCCTCTGGGCTCAAATGTAATGACATTGCATCAAATCTGGAGTTAAAGTGATCAAATTACACACAAGAACAACAGCAGAAGGAAAAATACGCTCAAACTCTAAGCAAAGGAGGGGAAGAAAAAATCTATAACATTATGGACATAACTGCTG